AATTATTAATTATCTTCTAAAAAAAATAATATTCTAAATAAAAAAATGACAACAACAAAGACATGTATATATAAAGTATTATATTATGATAAACATAGAAGTTACATGGCAGATGCTGAAACACATATCAAAACATGTACTAAGGTATACAACAAAATACATGCCAACCTGTATATTAAAATATATACTAAACAAACATATCACAAAGAGTTAAAAAACAATAGTTTAGTCTTTTTATAAACCTAAAAAAGGGACAGTCTATATACTTTGCCTCATCATTTAGAAATTTTATTAAGTTAAAAAATAATAATGCTTTAGTCTTTGATATCAGAAGTTTAAACCATTTTTTTAATAATATTATAATTTCTCTATATAAATATGCAAAACAAGATATAATTACTGCAAAACAATATTTTGCCAAAGGTAACTGAACATACTTAGAACTAGCATTTACTATTAATAAACAGCTTAAACATTATGTCAATAAGGATATAGTAATCTTTAATCAAATCTATTATGAATTTATTTCTATAGATAATAGAAGATCTTTTCTCTCTGTTAAGATCAGAAATATGTTATTTAATAACAAAGAATGAGTTTTCAAGACAATCTTAAAGATCTTTGAAAGCTTTAGTAAAATTATAGTTATTAAATTACTTTTTATTAAGAGTACTCTTTATGCTACTGATTAATGAGTTATAATCTTTAAGATAACTAATGATCTAAACCTCAAAACCAGAATTCTATATTATATTTTTCTATAAGATAATAAAGTCACAATTGAATGAAAAACAGTTTCTAAGGTTTGTTTTTTTTGTGACAAGAAGAATATCTAAAAAAAAAGTATAAGCAATTAAAGAAGCAGTTGAATTAAGACAACAATATAAGAAATATCAAGAAAACAAAACCAAAAAGATAACAGAATCTCTATATAATGTTTTAGAAACTTTCAATATACAAAACAAATTTCAAATAAGAAAAATCTTCAAAAAGAGAAGTTAGCTATTTAAGAATGTAAAGTTATTGCAATTACTATTTCACAATTTAATAAAAAATTTCTTACTTAAACAAGTAATCAATATGATTTAAAAATAGATAACAAAAAATCTTCAAACTAATAAGAAGTTCTGCTAAAAATAAATACAGAAAATTTAATTATACCTAATTAGCAAAAACAAGCTAAAAGTTAATTAACAATATACTAAACTACTCTTTTCTTTAATATCGAGAAAAATAAATCAAAATTTATATTAGTTACTAATAAGTAAAAAAAAGTTAAAAGAAGCTCTTATAAAAAGCAAAAAGAAAAAAAACTCTACTTAAAAACCAGAATTTCAAATAGAAACAAGACTTTTGAATATATACAAATTTTCTCTTTATCTAAACAATAATTAAATCAAAACTAAGAATAGCAATTCTGAATATCAAGAGTTTTAATAATAAATAAAAACAAAGAAACACTTTAATATTATTAAAATTCTATAAACTGAACATTATTTTTTTACAAGAAACAAACCTTAACAACAAAACTACTAGAGAATTTTTGCAACAACAATGGCTTTTTAACTCAGTTTGGTTAAGCAAAACAGCAATTCTAACAGAAAACAAAAATATTTTATTTAAAGACAACAAAATTAAACAATATAAAAGAATTATTACAACTATTACATTATACAGAAACCATATCTTCAAAATTACAAATATATATGCACCATCTAATTAATCAAATAGAATTCTTTTTTTCAATTACTAAACTTCAATAATAAATCTAAAGACAATAAATATAATTAGGAGTAACTTTAATACAAATATCTATTCAAACAGAGACCAAATTAGTGCTTCTAAACCCAAATGAACCTCTTAAGAACCTTGCTTTTAAAAAATCTTAAGAACTTTACAAATATCTCTTTAGTCTTTAAAAATATACTTTTTCTTACCTTCTTCTAAAAGACTAAAAAAACAGAACTATGGCCTTTTACTTCAACTATATTTTTATTGATAAGAACTATTTATACTTGGCTACAAAGCTAAACATCTTTTATGATAATTCAGATCACAAGTTAGTAAAATATATCTTCAAGTTTTAACAAGCCTTAAGTAAACTAACAATTTAAAAATTTAATAAAAAAAACCTTTATAAATATTTTTCTTAAAAAAAATCTAAGAAAAAAGCTACAAGAAGTAATAAATAGCAATAATTGAAACTTCACCAAAATCTAGATATAATAAATTATTAAAGCTTACAAAAAGCCCAAGATGACTAAAAACAATATTATGAAGCTCAATAGAAAAATTACAAATCTTAATAAGAAACTAGCTAACAATTTATCTAACAACAATCTGCAAGCACAAGCAAATAATTTAACTTATCAACTGCAGAAAGAACTTACTGACATAGCAAAAAAATAGCAGATATGCTCAAAAGCAAAATTGATTGAGCAAGAGAAAAGATCAACAAAATATTTTTTTGTCAAATACAAAGCAAAAAAAGCATATGCAGTACTATTTGAAATAAAAATTCAATACAAAATAAAGATAATATCTTACAATACATTAAAGATCAATATGCCAAAATCTATAACCAAAAAGAAATGAATTTTAGAAATGTAAATAAAATTACAAAGAACATCAGCAGATCTCAAACCAACAAAACATTTTATTTACAAAAACCTTCTCAAAAGAAGTGATTACAGAAGTGATCAAAGGGCTTCTAAACAACAAGTCTTCAGGAACTAATAGTCTTATTTATGAATTCTACAAACATTTCAAAGAGGTTATCACTTTTATCTTTTAAAAAGTCTTTAATAATACTTTATTTATTGACAATATGCCTATCTTATAAACAAAAAGCCTAATTATGTTAATATTTAAGAAATTCTCAAAGTTGAATAACATTAACAACTGAAAGCCAATCTCTCTAATAAACTATAATGCCAAAATTTTTATAAAAATCTTGGCCAATAGGCTTAATAAAATATGTAAAGATTTAGTTTCAAATTATTAACAAGGCTTTATAAAAAGCAGAATCATAACAAACACAGTACTGAATATACTAACAGTTATAAGAAACTAGCAAAACAATACTAAGCAAAATTGGCTGCTTTTAGTAAACTAGCAAAAAGCATTCAACTATGTCAACTACAATTATCTTTCAGAAGTGCTAAAAAAAATAAACTTTAAATTTATAAGCTAATTAAAATCTTATTTACTAATTAAAAGGCATATATTACAATGGCAAGCAAGATATTAGTCCTCTTTAAAGTTAAAAAAGAAGTTTAACAAAATGACTTATTCTTACCTTTCTTATACATATTGGCTTTTGATCTTCTGCTGCAGAAACTAAACAAAAAACTTCTGAAAATTTAGCTAAAAGACACTGTCTTAAAAGTTTCAATATATGCAGATGATTTTACACTAAGAATCAGTTTCAGATTAGACTAAGACATTCTTAAAAAAAATTTTGCATTATATAAAAGAGCCTCAAATGCAAAAATTAATCATAACAAATCTAAACTAATTCTATTTACAAATACAGCTTGAAGTCTCAACTTAGTAAAAAAAATTTTAAATAATATCAAAACAAGAAGCTATTACTATTCTAAATTATGAAGTTTATTCTAACAGTTTTTCAAAAAGAGACTTTTGGTTTTCTACAATTAATAAACTTAAAAGCTTCTTTGAAAAGTTAACAAATAAAAACCTCTTATTTAAAGACAAAATCTTTTTAGCAAACTTCTTAATTTTGTTTTAAACCTGGTATATATAGGGAGGTGACAAAAATATTTCCACACCTAAGGACTTGGCTTATAACTCCAAAACTTGCTAATTAACTTATGTCCTTGATTAGTCTATATTAATTTTTATTCCTTGATGATTATGTCAAATTATTTTTAGATTACATACTTGCATAATTAGCAAGTTATTTAACTTTACTTTTAGAGTTTTGATGAATAACATAAAGATTTGTGTTTCTATATAAATATTTCAATAACTATTAGTTTAACTTTAATAATATTTTGCTATCTTATAGAAAAATCCTTTTTCTATTTACTATATAAATTTGATACAATTTTAATTAGTAAATTAATTAAAAAATTAATAAAAACAAAAAGTTTATAACCTAAATTTTAAACTTAATTTTCTCAATAATTATTAGTCTAAATTAAATAATTTTTTTTTTATTTAATAGATATATACTTGCTTTATAAAATAAAAATAAAAAAATTAAAATTTAATTACTAATTGCAGAGATAATTTAAATAATCTATTACAATATATCAAATTTTATTAGTCATCATATATCTTAATTATCTCAGCAACTAGCAGCAGATTCATTATAATTTTTTTTTATTTTATAGATGAGATAAAGTGCTTTCAAATAAAAAAAAAATTAATTGATTTGAATTACTAGAAACAGAGATAATTAAGGTAGAAGTTCACTGATTAATTTATAATGATTTTGTTGGCGATTGTCATAATAATCATGTGACATAATTGTGAAAGAATGCTTAATTCACTATTATGTATTTTCTAACCTTATACATAGTTTTTTTAGTAAACATCATTTATTATTATTTTTTTTTTATCTACTGTGCTAGACTATAGAAAATAGAATTTCAAATTCCCACTTACTTTAATATAATACATCCATTCAATTAATATATTCCTGAGCATTAGTTTGAGAGCATAACATATAGGATAACTTCTGATTAGTCAATCACTTACAATTGTATTTATAAAATAAAAGTACTTTTTAAAAATTAACCTGTCTTTATCTTTGAAGAAGCGCCAATAGTTACTATGCAAAATAATTTCAAATAATTCCACATCTAGAGGTACTTTATTTAGAAGAAATATATTGTAACTATAGAACTATATGTGATTACTAAAACACTAAATATAGCTGGGTTATTGAAAAAAACTAAAAGTATAAACTTTTTTTTTTAGAAATAGATAAAGCAATTTCTAAGCTATATTGAAGAGGTTTAACTTGTAAAAAAATGTTAATATATAAGAATAGAGTTAGTAACAAGTGTTTAAAACTTTATATATATATAATACTTGGTAATATAATGGACTTAGATTCACCTAATTTTGTAGTACAACCTCTAACACTTGATAGTGTTGTTAGTTCTGAGGTTGTTGAAGACAATATTGAAAAGAACTATGACAATATAGAATTTGATGTTGATACTTTGATAGATAGCTTTGATATTTGAGCATTTATTCAATTTATTTATAATTATGTGAATAAATATAGTTGCTATAAAATAGGTTTCAATTTGTTAAAAGTACTAGCTAACAATTACAGAATTTATAATATTTGAATTACAGCTTTTAATTTAAATTATGGTATTTATATAAGTTTTTGTTTCAGCTTTAAGTTGTAACAGTTGCAGCTCAATATTTCTACTAAAAATCGACAATAAAATATTTTTGGCAAGCCACAATTAGTATTACATATAATTTCTATATATTTAATTCAGCTTTTAATTTAGGTTATAGCATTGATTATGGGTTTAGGTTTTGGTTTTGTGTTATGACATGAATTACCAAAAAATTGATGTCGAAATATTTTGGCAAAGCCATAGCAAGTTTCTACAGCATGTATATAACAATTGATTTTCCTAATCTTTATCTTAATTCTTAGCAATTTTGTTTTCATAACAGATATAATAATTGTGTGATCCTTTTTTTTTGATTTTGATGTTAATGTGACTTCTTTCTTTTCTTTAACTAATGCTTATCAACTAGGCTATTTGTGTAGCTCTCATTTTAGAAATTAATTTAATTATTGAGAATGCACAGCAGCAGCATACATTAGTGTAATCGATGCACAAGCTAAGACTGGCTATGCTCACTTTTGCAATTGCAGCTTATCTAATCACATATGGGCCCTATCCTGGATATTTAATAGAGTTTTATTAGTAACTATTATTACTTCCAAACAAGGCAATTAATTTAATGATACTTATTATTACATATTTACTATCTGGCCTTTAAATGGCAAAAGGTTATATAAAATTTATGTACATTCAAATTTACTGTACGATTATGTGAAAATTTAATTTACAAAAACTTATATATGCTGTATAAAATTAGTAATTTATAACTATTTGCTAGTAGAGATATGAGTGCAATGCTGTAATTCACTGTAATTATAATGAATTACAGCATTTTTTGCTATAATTCATTATAATTACGACAAATTATGGCATTGCACTCATACCTCTATTTGGCAGGTATTTTTTCTTGATCAAGTTAAGAAACCTGTGAATATAAATATATTTCGTTAAAGCATTTTTATATTTAACAAGTTGCAAATTATGATGCTTTCAGATCAAAAACGTGAAGAAATTATATCTGCTTGAAAATTAGGCAAGTCATATAGACAAATTGCCAATCTTGTTAGTTGTGATTCAAAGACTGTATGAAATGTGTTAAAACGATATTACAACCCATCTCAAACTTTATTGGATCATTGAGGAAAACCATCACTATTAGATGAACCAGCACACGATCATCTAATACAACTTATTTTGAATAATCACCGTATAACTAAAAAGGAAATTCAAGACACATTGAAACAGGAGAAAAGCCAAGTAATAATAATTTTATTTTATTTTTTTATTTATTTTGTTATTCCTTTTATTTTAATTTTTTATTTTAATTTTTTTTTATTTTTTTATTTATTTTATTTTAATTTTAATTTATTTTATATATTATAGGTAATTTCTCAAAGAAATATTAGTTGTACTCTTCACAAAGCCAACCTGTTTGCATATGTTGCCCATGCAAAACCCTTTGTTAATAATAAAACTAAAAAAGAGTATCGAGATTGGGCAGAGACGCATCTTAATTAGATGACTGAAGACTAGAAAAATATTCTTTGATTAGATAAAAAGTATTTTAGTTTAGTCTCACATAATCCTTATCAGTATTATAGAAAAGGTCAGATGAAAAATTTAATGATGATTGCCTTGTTTTGGCAATCAAATCCAAGGGGATTATGGTGTAAGGATGTTTTTCTTGGTGAAGTCTTGATCCTCTTGTCCATCTTAACAGCAGTATCATAAGTATATCTTATTGTAGAACACTTAGTTGTTACATCATTCCCAAGCTTCAGGACCAATATTCCAATAGTAATGGAGTATTTTAACATGATGGTGCCTTGGTTCACAGGGGCATGATTGTTAAAAAATATTTAGCCAATAAGTATATTAAAATGTTAAAATGGCCTCTGTATAGCCTGAACCTTAATTCTATTAAAAATCTTTGGTCTGAGGTTGAAGAAAATCTTTGAAAACATTGTCCAAAACCTGGTAATCTTAATAAGCTTGAAGTAATAGTTAAAGAAGAATGGGAATCATTATCTTAAAGTTATTTTAGACATCTTGTTGAAAGTATGATCGACCATGTTAGAGAGGTGTATAATAAAGATGGCAGTCATTTGCATTATTAATTTTGGGCAGTAATTATGCTAAGTTTAAGGATTATTTGTTTGCAATATTGTAGTATTATAAATATAGCATAAATATTATTTTATCTTATTATTATCATTATTGCTTTCATAATTATTATTATTTTATTTACTTGTATAGATATCAGGTAGTTTTTAAATTGCTTATTAAAAAATTTGTAAAGTAAAAATCACATGATGCAAATAAATTACTATATATCTGGATTTTATGTTCCCCCTAATGCTAAGGTATCTAAAATGGTATGCATTTGTACCTAGGTACTAAAGATGATTACTGTGACACTCATAGTGCAACTTATACCCCCCATGCTAACTATAGTATCCCTCTGACTATAATACTGTAATACCCATATATACTGCTTAAATTGTAAAGTACTCTGAGTATTTTAGTTTACGCTGTATGGTAATTGAAGGGTGGCTTGTACACACGTGTTATGATAATTTAATTAGGTCATACTTATGTAATTAATTTAATTTAATGGAACATAAAAGTATATTGATAATGATAATTTGAAAGTAATAAATCAATTGAACATATTTAAGTAAAATAGTTATTTACTAACTAACAAAATTTTTTTTATTCAAACACTTAAGAATTACAAAAGCCCAAAGCTTAAAATAATTAAAAATTTGGATTTTTAAAACTACAGTTTTATCTGCAACTTCTTGAAACTTCAGTTTCCAAAATCATGGCTTTGTTATACCAGGAATGGTGTGTATAGTTATATGGCAAGTAAAAGGATATATTCGCATACTGTATGTCAAGAACATGTAGAGCTTGCAATTTAAGGTGTTTTTAAGGAATTTACACTTATAAAATCTATGTTTATATTTCTTAAAATCACAGTAAATCACAAAATCCACACATCTCTGCTGTATATTGTAAAAGCAAGATCAATGCTGATAGATTACGATAGCTAGTGTGGTACAAATTCTTGAAATTCCTAGAATTTCTAAAATTTGGGTAATTAAAAAAAAGTAGAGAAAATAAAAAAAGCTAGGAAGGTTAGAATAGCTAGAAAGATATAAATAACTGGAAAAATTAGAATTTGTATGATTCTTGTATATATAAAAATTAAGTATATAAAAGAAAGAATTTTTTGCAATAAAACTTAACACTTGTAGTTCAAAAAGACTCTTGATATCTAAACTTCGAAATTAATGTAGTAGAAGTGTTCAAGTAGTGTTTAAAACCCTTGTCATTAAAATATCATTTATAATAATCATATTTCTTGTCCTATGACCTTGTTGACCTGTTATCGATAATAGTATAAAGTAAGAGAAAAAGACTCTTTGTATCTAAACTTCGAAATCAATATAATAGAAGTGTTCAAGTAGTGTTTAAAACCCTTGTTATTAAAATATCCTTTATAATAATCATATTTCTTGTCCTGTGATCTTGTTAACCCATTATCAATAGTAGTATAAAATAAGAGAAAAAGATCATATTAATTATCGAGACCTCTTTTATATAGAATTTAATAGTGATTACATTTGTGATTAAACCTATTGTTAGCATAATACATATGTAATTCGATATAGATCATAACACATAATCATGTGATCTGAAAATAAGCAGTATATCTAAATTCTAGAGAAAATATAACAAAGACATTAATACAAGGCAATCTATTAAGTACAAGAAATATATACTCAAAGTAAAAGAGAAACTTATCCAAGCTCTAGTAACAACCTCAGGACCCAAAAACCTCAAAACTTGAACCAAGTCTCTCTATGCCTTAATCATTGCCTACCAATTTGAAGTTTTCAGTCTTGTTTGTTCAATATTAGTTAGAGTGTAGTGTTAGATTATCTCAGTTAGTTCTATTAGTGCTAGTCAATACTTTCACAATGTACCTGATTGGATTGATAAATCTCTATTTGTTAATTTTGCATGAACATATAGTATCAATATCATGTCTAATAACCAACTTAGACTTTTGCATTAATTTTGGCTTTAGAAAATGCCAAATGCCAAAATACAGATAGAACTATGCTAAAATAGTTTCCACAACATGTATACCACAAGCCAGTATTGTACACAAACACTGTCTATATATATTTCTTGGACATGAACATATTTAGACATTGTCCAATGTCCATGTTCACTTATATGTCCAAACTTTTAGATTGTCACCAGATGTTGTCCATATGATATAATGTGGACACAGATGTCCAGCAGATAGTGTCTGCCAGACATTGCCCAATGTCCAAGCATTTAATTGGCTGATGCATCAGAAGTATCTATGACAAAAATTAGACAATGTTCAAATGTTTATATATTGTGTTTAAAAAAAGTTTTGCGCCTGCTCATACAAGCATTACTATTTTAAACCATTTTTATAGTGATCGATAGTATATATTTTATTATTTTTGACAAGTCAAAATTTTTTTTGTGATAAATACATTTATTTAACAAACAAAAATTTTATTGCACATAAAGTATATAATAGGACTTAAAAAACTATATTGAAATGCTGGCCATTCAAAATATATAGTAAACAATAAGATGAATCAAGAAAAACATCCAACAATAGGCTGCAGGCCGGCAAATTACTATATGATTTTAAGCCCTGGTATATACCTTTTCTAAAATCGTTTAAAATTTGTATAAGATCAAATTTCCAATCAAAGCTAAACTGTAAGACTTAATTTCTAATTAAGTCCTAAAAAAAGCAACCAAAATTCTATATAGAAAAGAATATTAATGTAGTACCAGTATGTTATACATATACAGTATTGAGATCAGGGCCTCCAGATGCTGATAGCAAAAATAGTTAGCAAAAATAACTAGTGAAATTAGCAAATTTAGCAAACTAGCTTATCTTTATTAAGTATAAATTTAATGCAATTATATTTTTCTTCTGCGAATTCTTCATCTATCATTTCAGTGAGTTCTCTGATCATCATCTAAAATATGCATATAATTACTTGTTTATATAAATCAGTTCAAGAACAAAGGTAATAATCCCATGTTTAGTACAAAAGTAGCAAATTTTGCATCTTAGCACAAAACAATTGTTGATAGCTATTTTGCTAAAAAATAATGCTATTTTAGATGCTATAAAAAAACATCAGAGGGCTCTGAAATGAAATAATGATAATGTATAAAACCTGTTTAATAAACAAAGTCAAATGAGCTAATAATGCATGAACTTGATTAATTAATAAAGTCAAGAATAAATAATAATGCATAAAATCTGATTAATGAATAAAGTCAAATAAGCTAATAATGCATATAGCATATAATGCAAAGCTAAAGTCCTCACCTGTTTTTCATAAAGTTTGCCTTTCTTTCACAAAGTTTGAAATTTTTTTAATAAATAACTCAAAATTTATTTTATATCTTTTTTTATTAAATATGATGCCAAATATTTATTAATAATGAAACCAATCTTATAAATATACCAAAGTCTATTATACTCTGCTGAACCTGTATCTGGTGCTAAAAGAATTTTTTTTTAAAAAAAAAAACAAAAAACAGTTGCTAGCTAAAAAAAAACAGTAAAATAGTAATGTCACCAATACCTGATTTGTTAGAACAAGACATAATTAAAACTAAAGAAAAGATTAATAAAAGTAACCATAAAGTTTACTGTAAGGCATATATTAATATATTGGGTGATGATGGGATGGAAGTTTTTGTTTTAAATAAAATGGATAGGATAATTGCACACCTTAAAAAATGTACATATTTTATAGAACAAACAACATCTGAGAAGAGAGAAAAAGTCTTTAACTTATCCAATGATGAACAATCAAGTATAAATAGAAAAAAGTCTATTTTAAGCAGTGTGAAATATATATTAATATGCTCAATTTTTCCAGGTTCATATGATACCATGTTTACCTTATTACAATCATTCACCCAGAAGGGCATTGTACAATTCACTTCTTTTGGCCCACTTGACAACTATTCTGTTTATTCATTTTCGCAACAAGACTATGAAAAATTTAAAGTTCTTTTGCTAAGACTAACGGTATCTTGTGGTTGGGCTTTTAATTGAATAAACAAACCTGAAGCAAGTGAGTTGTTTGATTTTTTTGAACCCTCTTATAAAGCTTCCAGATCGCCAGACTCTTAGTGAACCAACTTTAGAGGTAGCAGTTTCTAATATGATAGAGGAATGTTTGAAGCTCTTCAAAAAGATTCAATTGGTGTTACTTTAATGTTCAATAGGTGGACAAATGTCAATAATGAACAATTAATGGGTACAATGTTAATAACTTCAGTGGGAAACCCTATATTTGGAAGGCAACAGATATTAGTATAAAGAGAGAAAGTTACACTAAAGTAATAAAAAAAACAGAAGAAATGATTGATGAGTTAAAAAAATAAATGTAAAGATCATTGCAATTGTAACAGATAGTGCAGAGCCGTACATTGTAGCTAGGTATTTTCATTTTTTTTCTGATTTATATTAGCCTATAATTTAATTATAAATGAAGATTAAGGCCTATTCACAGAAATATTGTATTCTTGCCCTATTATGCCCACTAATTAAATCTATGCATAGGTGAAGTTTTTAAAGAATTGACCAATTTAAAAAGCACAATAGATAAAGTGATTCAGCTAGCTATGTATTTTAATAATGCCAATAATAAATATTTTATTGGGCAATTACATGATCAACAAAAAATAAACTACAAGAAGTATTATAATATAGTAGTTCTAAGTGAAACTAGATGGAACAGTTACTATTTACTTGTTACTAGTCTTTTGAAAACCAAGCAAGCATTACAGGTATATTAATAAGGTTATACAAATTTAATGAATTGGTCTAGTTAGATCAAATTTTTCAAAACTTTAATTAAAAAATTTAAAAATTAAAGACCAGGTCACTGGGTTGTTTTTAAAATTTTACTTTGAGAATCAATAATAAAAATTATATTAATTGTTAATTGAGATTTTTATATATTTTTATTTTAGATTCTTGCGATAAATTTTCAACCACCCTATTCCCAAAATCAACGAAAATCTGGTGAAAATCTCTTAATTTATCCTAAAATTTTTCAAACCATCAGATTGGATTTATTTTGGTCTAATCTAGTAATAATCATGAAAATTCTATATTCTTATTGTAAAATACTAAATAGATTGCAATGTAATAATGCCAAATTAATTCATGTTATGCATAGTTTTGCATATTTAGTTCAATTTTGGAATAATCATACTAACTTACAACTTTCTGAAAAGATATTAAATAGGTTAGAAAAAAGATGAAATAACTGGGAACAATTTCTTCTTATTTTAGCATGCTTATTACATCCTAAATATTGATTATCTTACTTTAAAGACCAATCAGTAATTAATTATTCAAAATTTGGAAAATATCTGATTTATTACTACAAAGCTTAATCAAGAAAAGAACCTACTTGCATTTTGAGGGAATTTAACGATTTTTTTAACAAAGTTTATCCATTTGATGATAATACTTACAGCCAATTTAATGATATATTAAGTTATTGGAATTATGCTAGGCCTTCAACAAATGAATTAGAATTAGTAGCATGCCAATTGTATAGAATTTGTATTAATTTCGCCATTGTTGAACGTCTTTGGAGTTGTATGAGTTATTTTCAAACTAATCGAAGAAATCAATTAATTGTAATTTTTTTTATATTTTTTATTTATTTTTTATAGCTGTTTTTAAAATATTAAAATACATAAAAGTTAATAATAATGGCTGATTTTGATAAGTTTTTTAACAATACAGTCAACTCTTCAAAATCTCAAACTCTTAATAAGCTTTGTAAAAAAGCTTTAGAACATTTGTAAATTTTATTACAAAGCTTGGATTAGCAATATAGTAACTAAATTTTGGCATATAGGAACAGACTATTTGGAATAGAGAGTGACTACAACTCACTCTCGTTATAGTAAAGTCATCAGGATGAAAAAAAACTTCACTATAGCTTATATCGAGAGAATACTATGTACTTCACTATATCGAATTGAAGTTTAATAATTCCATAATTCAAAATTCTTCACTATAATGAGAATGAGTTGTATAATCTTAATAGTATATAACTACTTTTTGTAAGAATTTGAATTATTCAGTCTTTTCATCTAGTTTAGTTCTTTTATCCCAAGAGGACATATTTTGTTAATAATAAGGTATCTTGGATTATAGTTTCAATACATTATAGCTTAAATATCTTGATTAACATATATCTCATTCTACTTAACATATTTAGAATATATCTTTATGATATTTTAAAAACAGCTATAAATTTTATAAATTTTTTTTTTTCTAAATAAATTTTTATTTAGTTGCAAAAGGCTTTTAATATAAGCAAATTAAAAGCTTCTATCACATGGGAATATTCACACAAGTCAGACCCTGTTGAATTACCTCTACCCAGTTTTCAAGATAAATACAACACAGAAAATAATGATCAGCCAAATATAAATTACGAAAAATTGAGTAAAGAATGTGCAGAACCTGATGAATCTGCAGATCTTGCTTTGGTTAAACAATTGATGACAAGACTTTGGAATTAACTCCTTTGGAAGAGTTCGGCTAATTTTTAGATGCATGGATCAAAATATCGAAAAATGAAATTGATAAAATTGCACAAATATATAAAGATGAGAATGAGATGTTAACTTCGGAAATTGAGGATATCGTTCATCTGGCAACAGATCCAAAATCTAAATAGGATTTAAGGGTTCTAT